TCTTGTCGTTCCCTATGTCTGTCACCGCATCCACAGTCGGCCCAACGTTTAGATCAGAGACATCGCTGGACTGATACCCTTGAGCCACACCGGGAGGGCTTTGACACAAGTTTTTAATATCGACCACAAAGTACTTGTCTTTCTGTATGAGTAGGACATCAGTCGTCTGGTAAGTGAAGGCCGCGTCTATCGGTGTCTTGAGGTCCACATTGGCTTCGGACAAGACTTTGTCGGCCTTGAAGTCCATTACCGTCTCATTCCAGACGAATAGATCGACTTTGAAAACCATGACTTTGTTTCCTTCGGGGAACGACTCTATCAAATGGATCTCCTGTTCAGTCCTTCCCTGTGCTCTACACTCAGAAATAGCCCCAAAGTTGACAAACACCGCGGCGTCGCCTCTTTTAAAAGGCCTATGAAGTGGTGTTCCGACGGTTTGGGGCGGAAGTTGTGTTTCGTTGAGAAACCAATAGAAACCGCCGCTCGTGAAGAAGTACTGACCCGTTGTGTGGATGTAAGCGATTGCGTCTATTTTGCCGCCGTTTTGGACAAATTGGGACCACAGATGACCGCTTCAATTGACATACAAACAAATATCAGTGCCTTAAGTATGACTGTCATTATGAAAATATGTTTGCAATCAAAAGCACTGTAGTTAACTTTTCAAAAAAGTTGTGTCTAAATATCAGTATTTTTATTTTAGTAACATTTTAGTAACTATCAGTAAGTTTTGCATTTCATTTATTTCATTCAATTGATTAGTGAATTCAGATTTGAATGCCATTCATTCAACTGTGTGTTTAAATCAATTGTTGTAGCATTCAGTAAACCGGCATAACATTGAGTATAGAATATTCTTTTACTGTAATATTCACGCGATTCGTAAAAATTTTTGTTTTTAAATTTTGTTATCAAAGATGTTTTCAAAGATAACAGTGTTTGTGACACTTGTATGCATTGTCTGTCCAGTGGTCACCAATAAGACACAAATCATAAATAATTACATAAAATCCATTTGCTATGGAGAGTGGACTCAAATATATGACTTCAAAAAGTTGGCCGCAATTACAGACATCAATAAAAGACGATTTCATTTGAGTTCAGATTATTGTCAAAAGACTTACAAAAATTCAACACATTTTCCGCAGAAGTTATCGTCTTTCTTGACTAAAAACAAGGAGTTTTTATTTCTATACATAACTATCACTAAATCCATTTCCAAAGAGTCGTCAAAATTTAATATCAGTTTCTCTCCGGACTTCTCACACGAAATGAATTCAAAGTTTTTATTATTCGTTTGGATTAAAGAGGACTCAAAACGTAATTTGAGTTCTCATTTGAAATACGAAATTAATTTCAAGATCTCTGACAAGAATCAAGTCATCACAAGTATTACAGATTTGAATCTTAAGAAACACCACTCGGAAGAGATTGCATTCACTGATTATCCATTGGACACGAAGTCATCCATCGAGATGGATGTGTTGGTATGGAATGGAAGTCATGGATCTATTTCTTCAGACTTATCTATTGATGACTCGTATATCGTATTCTGCGCTCAAAAGATGCAGAATTCAAAAGTCAGCTATTCTTATCCATCGAGATGGATGTGTTGGTATGGAATGGAAGTCATGGATCTATTTCTTCAGACTTATCTATTGATGACTCGTATATCGTATTCTGCGCTCAAAAGATGCAGAATTCAAAAGTCAGCTATTCTTTAAAGAAGTGTTGGCCAGAGGTTTACGACAACCATTTGGGCTGTAATTGTGATGTCAAACATGACTTCATATTCATAATAATCGTAATTTTTTGGACAATTTTTGTCACTCTTTTGATAATTCCTTTTATATTCGACTCATTGAACGACAAATTCATCGAAAACAGGGCTGTAATTGTGATGTCAAACATGACTTCATATTCATAATAATCGTAATTTTTTGGACAATTTTTGTCACTCTTTTGATAATTCCTTTTATATTCGACTCATTGAACGACAAATTCATCGAAAACTTAAACATCTATTCTTCGTGCAAACGAAACACAGCATTGTTTTGCTATAAAATCACATTACGTTTGTGGAAAGGATCACAAGAATTGGACGAAAAGTCGACGATTAGTATTGAATTCTTCACACCAGACAAGGAAAGCATAGGTAAAACATACAGAATGTTTGTTTTCTAATGATTTTAAAAATATTGCAAATTTTTATTTAAATAATTGTTTGAATGTATGAATAGCTCCGAAATTTACATTCTCTACGAAAGCTATAGAAGATATGTTTTTAAAGGATATTCGCATTCATTTGTATCGAGTGATCAAATTGCCAGAAATGGACAGAATTTCGTGCAGCCTTTCAGCGCCTGAAGGAACGACAATATTCTTATGCGGACTCACTGTTTATACGATCAAAAGACCGCGAACTGGGGAATCCTATGAAAGAGAATATTTGGTACAGAATTTCATGACAACGACTAAACAGACATTCAGTTTAGTGGAGAAATCTGATGAAAATAAGGATCAATTGACTATTTACTCGAAAATTCCTAACAATATAGTCATTAGATCTCACTTCAATTACTATCAAATAGTTTGGATTCTGTTTGCAATATTCTCTATGTTTGGAGTGATTTGTTTTGTGGTTTTTATTGAGAGAATTGGCTATTATTTAACAAAATTCATACTTTCACTGATCGTATCGTTTCTAATGGGAGGACCCATTGGTATGGTTCTCGTTTATGCAGTCAAATGTCTCAGAGAGGGAGAAATCACTCAACAAATACTTCTGAACAGCGGCTCAAACTATCGGTGTTTGAGATGTCTTATGAATTCAGGAATTGGTGTCTTTGCGATCATATCCTCGCAGCTATTGCTTCAGACCGATAATGGCATCCAATTCACCGAATCGTTGTATTGGTTCAGCAAAACCTTCTTCTGTTGTTCACTCCTGACATCGATTTGGATTCTTCTCCACGAATTGCAGACTTTCGTGGATACTATTAATGATAAGAATTCATTGACTATCGATGAAAACCCTGAAGTCTTGGACGAAGAATCGATTTCCACTTCATTGAGCGAGTGATCAGATCTCTCATTATATAAAGTTCTTAATATTTATTTGTATATTTATATTAACATTATTTACAAATTAACCTGTATATTATATATTATAAATTATAAATTAACACTAACTAAAAACACAACTAAACTAATTCCAAATGAAATAATAATAAGGTTTTATAAAATATTTTATTATAATTAAATTGAATTTAGTATTAATCGTAAGACATTTTCTAATATATAATAAACTGTATAACGTTTATAATAAGAATACTATGGATTTCAGAATAAATTAAATAAAATCACAAAAAATTGAGAAAAATTGACGAATAGATGAGAATATTGACAGTATTTAGTATCAGAGGGTATGCTATAATCATATCCTTTTAGCACTTCTTATGGCACTTCTTGTGCATCCAGGGCTGGAAGTCGATGCCCCGACACACGGGATAGTGAAGTAACGGACAGTTGAAGTCCCGACACCCAGTCGTGCGCCAGAAGTAGCACTCATTGGTGCCGCGGGGCTGATAGGGACGCATGTAATGCAAGTCCTTCTGATCGTTGGACGGAATGAATCGGAACACAAGGGGTCGGAAACCGTTGGAAACGCCGGTCAAGTGCGCCAGAAGTAGCACTCATTGGTGCCGCGGGGCTGATAGGGACGCATGTAATGCAAGTCCTTCTGATCGTTGGACGGAATGATAGCCTTGTGTTCCCCAGCCTTTGGCAACCTTTGCGGCCAGTGACAGACCGGTATCTCACGCCGCTACCGATGAGAGCCCGAGACCACCAACACCATCAACTGCTTTCGCGTCATGCTGACCCCCTGCACATTCACGTAGTCCAGTGGGCCGTACCGAATGAATATCTGGCGCAGGAGTGCGGGCTTACAGTCGGGCGACACGTTCCCAATCCATAGGCCTTTATATCCGAACAGATTCTTCGGCAAATGGTTCTGCGTGTCAGCGCCGGTACCTTTGAATCGCTTAGCACTGAAGTTGTCCACTGGAAGGGTCGGCTGTTCAGACCTCTTCACCCGATTAATGTTGTCCACCGAATGAGATCTCTTTGGCAAATATGAAGTAACGGTTGCGCTATTGTTTCCGTACGAGGTTTGGCTGACTCGGGCACCCGGAGGCCGACTTTGAGAGCGCCGGTAGTGTTGTTGACGATTATCGTGAAAGCGCTGATTGAATGGTAGGAACTGTTTGTCTGTCGGCGTCCAGTGCTTTCTGAACCGGCGCTCATTGTCCTGAAAATTAGCACCAGATTTGTGGCCACCGATGGCTGCGTTCATATCGTCTCCAGAATTCGTGTCATTCATTGTCGAAGTCTTCGGCGACCCATCGCTTCCTATTGTAATCATTCGATTGTCTGCCGAGGCTTTGATGGCTTCATCGATAGTGTCGTGACTGATGGCCGCCAGAGAGGCCGCCTCGACGTCCATTCCATTGTCTCTGAGCGCCAAATACCTAGTCTTCAAGAGCTCTTTTGCCGTGTCCTCACATTTGCCATTCATTTGCAGAATTTTATGAAAGGCTTTCTCTGCGTCTGTATACCTCTTGAGTCCAATCAACGCCTTTCCCTGACGGAAGTATGGTTTCGGACGGGTGGGCATCAGTATCACTGAACGCAAGGCATCGGCCAACGAGTCCTCAAACTTCATAAGCCTTTCGTAACAGAAACTGCGGTTACAGTAGAGTCGGTAGTCCTCGTCGTAGAGGGCGATGGCCTTCGAGTAGTATCTGATGGCCTCGACGTACAGACCACTGTTAGCCAACCGGTTACCGACCGTCTGAAGTGTCTCAGACTTCCTCTTCAGTGACTGATCTGAAGTCAAGTCCATTGTGTCTGCGATTGACATCTCTGGTAGTAATGATGTCGTGTTTTGCCTGCAGACACGGTAACCTACGCAAACTCACTACAGAAGCAGATTTCGCCTAGGCGCTGCGTTTCGTGACCGATATCTGACCTCCGATTCCGATCGCAACAGAGGTTAACAGTAGCCACCGCTACTCACCGCGGCAATGACCAGACAATTGTCTTCATCCAGTTGTCCAGAATGTCCTGAACTGATGGCAAACATTATCTCTGACGTGATATTAAACTTATTATTTGATTGACTTCTCGCTATTATTAGCTAATTTCTGAAATATGATAAATAATTATCTCTATAGCCATAACTGATATTATAGACAGAAAGACACCAATTCCCTTGACAGCCAGCCTATTTCTCTAGGCAACTAACATACTTATTTAACAAGATTTCTATTCACTGTATCTGTTGTTTGAAAAATTGATTTCAATTTAAATTCATTCAAATGAATGGAAGAATGCATTCAATTCTATTCACTAACCCATGTCTCGCGCTAACTATTGTCATTGAATTCATAATTCATTCATTCATTATGTAAGTTCTCATCCTGATGATTTTAGCCATTTACCCAATACAATACAATACATAACATAATTGTACAATACTTATAAATTGAGGGCTAAATTATTAGATACAGTATAGTTAATAAATCAAATCTAAGACTAAAGTCAACTAAAACTATGTACCGTATTTCAAAGGGATTCACAAAATTATAACCGTAACTTAGAGTACTGTAAAACAAAAAGTAATACCGTACGATACAAATAAAAATTCAATTATTTATTTATTTGTCAATAAATTCCAGTTATTGTTCATTCGTACGAAAAGCTTATAGATTTCAATACAATTAAAATAAACTAAATCGATTAAAGACTTTATACTATTTATTAATAGAGATATCGGTATTGACTATAATATCTGTCTTTCTGTGGTTAAGGGAACTGTCGGTCGGATAAAGAGATCCGTTGATTGTATGAATAAATTGTTAATTTCTATTCACTGTATCTGTTGTTTGAAAAATTGATTTCAATTGAAATTCATTCAAATGAATGGAAGAATGCATTCAATTCTATTCACTAACCCATGTCTCGCGCATCCAATGCATTACTATTTTATTCATTGTCATTGAATTCATAATTAATTCATTCATTATGTAAAATCATACTGATGATTTTAGCCATTTACCAATACAATACAATACATAACATAATTGTACAATGTTTATAAATTGTAGGCTAAATTATTAGATACAGTATAGTTAATAAATAAAATCTAAGACTAAAGTCAACTAAAACTATGTACCATATTTAAAAAGGATTCACAAAATTATAACCGTAACTTACAGTAGTGTAAAACAAAAAGTAATACCGTACGATACAAATAAAAATTCAATTATTTATTTATTTGTCAATAAATTCCAGTTATTGTTCATTCGTACGAAAAGCTTATAGATTTCAATACAATTAAAATAAACTTAAAACAGCATTTCATTTAAAAATTTGTTATACACTAATAATTTCGTCTAATTAATTTAAGCTTTATTTAGCCTAAAATATATTTAAGAAAGTTAATTAAATTACATATAATCAGAATTCCGTAACCTTTTTGGTATACTTAACCAATATTGTAATGTTAGCTTCACAAACATTTATATTATTGAACAAAACAAAAAGTATTGACAACTCATTAAGCGACTGAACATAGCTTTTGGACACTTTGTCTTTAATTGATTCGGCAATCGATTCGTTTTTCTAATTCATAAGCAAAATATAAAATTAATTAAAATATTTACTTATTCTTGAAATCTAATAAACAAACCATTGATTGATTGGAAGCAAAGCGTTCGTCAAAAACGGACGATATGTTGACGGACTTGAGAATAATTCATAAGCAAAATATAAAATTAATTAAAATATTTACTTATTCTTGAAATCTAATAAACAAACCATTGATTGATTGGAAGCAAAGCGTTCGTCAAAAACGGACGATATGTTGAGGGACTTGAGAATTGTGTCAATACGTTGAGCCGACTCTTCAAACTTGGAAATCAGTGAATCGTATGTCTTCACTAAACCACTGGTGGTCTCTTCAGCTGATCCGGACGTCTCTTTCTTTCTTCGATTCTTTTTATTTGAATTGATATTCAAAGAGCTTTTCATAATTGATTGACAGAATCCCAAAAAAATGATTGCTATACTCAACGTCTCGATTGCATTCGTCAACTGTTCCAGAGTTGACTGAATACAGAATAATGTCTTTGTATTCTTAACCACTTCTTCTAATTTGTCTACAATTATGGCGAATATATCACCGGATTTTATATCAGTTAACAACGATTCCTCTTTTGGATTGTCATTCAAACCGAGTATAAAATCAATTAGAGTTACAATTACTTCAAAATGACTGAATTTACTAAATAAAACAATTCGCGACCGATTCGGGCCATCGATGGATATCTAAACACATAAAGTAAAACAATTTTAATATTTAGTTTCAATTAAACCAAAAACAAGTAACGAACCAAAGAATCTGCGAATTTCGATGAGTGGACACAAGACATATATTCTTTAAACTTCAGCGAGAGATCTCTCAACATATCGGCATTACTGCGGATAACTGTACCATTAGTTTCGGCGCCGTTTTTGGTGTTATTATTAGTGAACTCCTCTTTAGAGACCTCAGGTTTACCCGAAGCGAGATTATGTGAGGCAGCGATCGCTCTGATTATCAAATTCCTGATCTTAAGCCATCAACTGTTCCAGAGTTGACTGAATACAGAATAATGTCTTTGTATTCTTAACCACTTCTTCTAATTTGTCTACAATTATGGCGAATATATCACCGGATTTTATATCAGTTAACAACGATTCCTCTTTTGGATTGTCATTCAAACCGAGTATAAAATCAATTAGAGTTACAATTACTTGAAAATGACTGAATTTACTAAATAAAACAATTCGCGACCGATTGGGGCCATCGATGGATATCTAAACACATAAAGTAAAACAATTTTAATATTTACTTTTAATTAAACCAAAAACAAGTAACGAACCAAAGAATCTGCAAATTTCGATGAGTGGACACAAGAGATATATTCTTTAAACTTCAGCGAGAGATCTCTCAACATATCGGCATTACTTCGGATAACTGTGCCATTAGTTTCGGCGCCGTTTTTGGTGTTATTATTAGTGAACTCCTCTTTAGAGACCTCAGGTTTACCCGAAGCGAGATTATGTGAGGCAGCGATCGCTCTGATTATCAAATTCCTGATCTTAAGCCATAGTATTTCGTCGGCAAATGTCTGCTTTTCATTGTCTTTCATTAATCGCTCGCTTTTTTGATGATTACTTCGAATAACACTAAAGTCTCGGTTATCGGAGATCTCATTCCACACAAACTTATCATTTTCGACATCTATTTCCATATAATTTATTATATCTTTAGTCGAGTCATGACTGAAAGAATAACACGAATAGAGATTATAATACAATGACAATCAATACCAACAAAACAAATCGTAACTACTTTTTAGTCTCTAAGATCAGATCCAAAACCATTCGCTCAACGGCTGACAAACAGTATTGCAATGAATTGTTGAGTCGATCCCGAAAACTGAGAATCTCTTGGACTTTAGTAAACGAACCGAATTTATAACACGATATCAAATAGTCTAAAGTCTGTCCACAAGATATCAAATCAATTAAAACTCGTTTCACACAAAATCAAGACATAAAACACTCACATCTTTGAAGTTTGCCGAATAAAACTTAAGTGTATTTCCCAAGAGTTGGGAACTGGAGGTGAAGTGGGCGCCGGTTATCATGGCAGTCGTAATCACATATCCGAGTGAGTCGTATTGAATATGCTTGACGTCCAGCGACTCCAGTAGTGAATGACTAGCACCGACCGCTCCCATCATATTATATAACTTTATTAACATTAGCTTAAAGTGAAAATTTGCCGGACTTTTGATTAGCGATTTCTCCAGAAGTATAATCGTTTGACTCAACATATCGTCGTCTAAATCGTTGTCCGCGAATAGAATACACGCCATAAGAGTCACAAACGGATCCGTCGATTGGGCTTCGGTTGGCATGACATCACTCTTCAAAATTATATTCTTGTAGTAGTTTTCGTACATTTCGTTCAAATGCTCGACCAGTTTCTGTCGATTATCTCTACTCAAGGCGTCATTTTGTCCCAAAAAGTGGCGGACGTAGTGGTAAGTCATCAACTTATGCATTGAATTCAAGTCTTTATAATCTTGTGATATACGAGAAATCGATTGTTTCATCTCAAGAATTAACTGTCAATTCATTGATAAAAATAATTAATTCTTTTGCAAAAAACATCACTTAATGCTCACAGTCTGGACCTCCTCTTCAGTTAAGTGGATCTCTTCTAAAGCATAAAACAAGTCATAAATAGCCGCTTGTTTTGAACCGAATTCAACGAAATATTCAAACAGCAAATCAGTGGCGGAATTAGTCATCTGTTTGAGCAGTTGCTGGACGTCTCCCTGAGTTCGTTGCCGTTTGTCTAACAAACCAAACAAAAGCATTTTCGCCAAATAAGGACCTCTTAGACGCGGCACCGGCTTTGGCTGATCCGCTCTGTTGTCATCAACTAATGCCGAACTAATGCCACTCTTTTCGATACAATTGTCTATAAAATTCATTACTAAACACAAGTAATGGTTTTGAGTGGCATTCGAGTCTTTGCCTGACTTGTCATTCAACGCAAACGATATACTAATGATTTCCTTGTAGTAATCAATTTGATCCAAATTATTATCAATCAATTGTTTGTATGCCTCGAACGCGTCTTCATATCTGTCCAAAAGCCTCAAGAGATCGGCTCTTCTTTTGAACAAAAAGTCCAAATGATTGCTGAGTTTAGCGCCGATAGGGCTGTCCATAAGCGCCAGCATTTCGTTGTACTTCTTTTGCTTCTCCAGAATCAGAATATAGAGCTCGACCTCAGCCTCGGCTTCGATCTTATTTTCGTCCAAAAACTTTTTGCACATCTTCTCCGCCAACGGAAGTGTCACCGTCTGAGCGATGGTCGCGTCCTTTGCACTGATAGCCTGTCCATCAATTGAATCACAAGTTAGCCCTTCATTTGACTCCCAATTGAGAGCAAAACAACTGAATTGACAGCAAAACAACTAATAATAACCTGCATTAAGACACTCATAACGGCCCAAAAATAGTAGGGATTCTTGGGTTTCAGTCGATAGAGATTAATAGCCGCCAACTGTTGCTTCTTGTAGTCACTCAACCGGACGTAAGCCATAAACAGATGTGAGTGAAGCTCTTCGTTCTTCGGCTCCTTTTTCAGCGCTTTCTCGTAGGCGTCGGCTATTAATTCAACTGATAAAACATATCCATTAAATCGGGGCTCAAATGGCACCCAACCATCACATGTGACCCACTTTTATGCAGCTCTCGATAGCATATAGTCATCGCCTGTAGTGTGGAGTCATCAGTGGGTGAGTCGGAGTGGACTTCTTGTAGGAGACGAAGACTCTCCTCCTGTCGGCCGAGTCTTAAGAGCGCCAACGACTTCAGCACTTTAGCGCAAACCAAGTCCTTCTGCTTCTTCAGCACTTTGTCCGCCTCCTGAAGAGCCTTCTTGTTGTTGCCGTTGTCGAGACAGTCTGTCCATCGGGTGTCCATCGGGTCACACAACACACCAATCAGTAGTCAATCGCCGGTAAACGCATGCATGAGATGTGGGTTTCAAAGGGTTGACACCAATGCCACACAAAATCATTCAAACAAATGGTTTGAAATGTTTATGAAATTATAGATTAAATGCAAATAATGAGAGTTTTATGAATCAAAAGTACATTAAAATGCCATAAAATACAGATATTTCGTGTCCGCAAGTGTGGACCAATTGGGTGACAAAATCATACCATAAATGGGTCGAAGTCTTCGCTCATTGATGTGAGAGTTGTCCACATTTTTGGCCATCATATCAATCGTTGAGATAATCGGATAATTAAGTGAAACGACTGAGTGTTACATCAATTGAAACGATAACTCAAATCATAGTGAAAGCCAACAATCAATCACTTGGTGTGCAGTGAATGCAATGCAAAAGTGGAGACAATTCAGTGGTTTATAACGCGGACTGCGAGTGAAAGCGATAGTAAAAAGTGGTTCACAAATGCATTAATAATAACGTGTTTTGTGTGTAAAACTCGTATTTAATTCACAAATCATTTCTCTCTCATCGCCAGAGACTTGACTCGCGATTGAAAAACACGTTTTCGTCGATACTTTTCGCAACACAACACTCGGACTCGCGTTTAAAAACTCATTCACAGTCTCTCTCTCTCTCACTCACTCACTCTCTCTCTCTCTCACTCACTCACTCTCTCTCTCTCACCCACTCGTGGGACGTAATGTTTGTGACACTCATTGAGGCTTTTGTTTTGAGTTTTGTTTTTTAAAAGCGTTTTTCAATCGACAAAAACAACAAACCATTGAACCATTGATTCGTGGTTTGGCTGTCCATGCGATCAGCCGTTTGCGTGGTGTCTGTCCCACCACTCGAGGCATACGTTTGCTGACCACTGAATCGCCGCAAAAGATGCCCATTTGTGATGATAATCGACTCAACGGTAAAATAGATTACAAACAGAAATACATTCACCTCAAGAGGAAACTCAAGCTATTGATATACGTATGCATTGCTGTGACCATCACTCCCGATGAGCGCATTTTGATGATAATCTCTGTCATACTTTGCAGGAGAATGAGTGCTACACCGAAGAGCTTAAGAAATCTGAGCGACAGCTGCTTCAAGTGAGTCGCGACAAGTCCTACCTCTTGGACCGACTCTTGCAGTACGAGAAGATCGAGTCGTCGACGTCGGACTCGGAGGACACGCTGTCCAGCGATTCGGACGCGGAGTCGAGAAAAATGGACACTAAGAAGAAGAAGATTGAGAGCAACGCCACGACCAGTGAGTCGCAGACCAACGCAAACACCACTTCCCGTAAGAAGAAGACAAATACTCAAACGACAAGCACTTCCCGATCACGAAGCAGTTCCACGGGAAAGCCTTCGAGATCTCAGTCGACGGCCACACAAGTGAGCGTTTCGTTGCCCTCTTCGGCGCCCATTACGACCACTCAATTCAAAGGCGAGACAATGTCCTCTGCGTTGCCGCCATCGCTGACCACCACTTGCTCGCAGTCATCGAAGGCGTCGGTCAGCAGCACCTCATCGGTCAACAGCACAATCGATGGTCACATGACTTCCGAAGAGTTGGAACGACATCTGGAGTCGCGGCGACAGCCGTCAGCGCTACTGATGCCCGAGAAAACTCCGCTAACAGTTCCCGTCGAGCTCTTCAGCAACGAGTCATCCAATGGTCTTCCAGACGATGATAATCACCTCAACATTAAACTCATGCAGTAATCGCATAACAAAACGATTCATTTTCATGTAATCCATTGCTTAAGAACTTTAATCCATTTATTGATCCGTTTATTACATAATTGTGTAAAATATACCTAAATCACCTGAACATTAAACTCATGCAGTAATCGCATAACAAAACGATTCATTTTCATGTAATCCATTGCTTAAGAACTTTAATCCATTTATTGATCCGTTTATTACATAATTGTGTAAAATATACCTTAAATTAGTTAACAGTAAATATATTTAAGAATTAGTGACAAAACAAATGATTAGATAATTCTGACCAAGAAGTACATCTCAGCCACGGCTACGATCAACGCCCCGAACAGTCCGCTCAACACCTGCTATAAGAAGTATAAGAGTATCTGTTTTAGTCTCAAGAGCTTCTGGAAGCCATTCAATGGTAAGTACAGTGGAGACGTGTGGCTCTGGAAGTGAATATTCGACCGCTTTGTAGCAGAAGAGGAATGTACCACCGATTGTGACAAATGCGTTGATAACGGCTATGAGTGTCGGACGCATTTCGCGGACTATTGGATCAAATGGAGGTTAAGACAACTGTATGAATAAATATCTCCCAAAACAATGGCTTACATTCGCTTCCGAAAGAGACTTCTGGGGTCTCTTTCGATGGACTCGAGCCCACACTCACTGAAGAGGTCATTGATTTGTAATCTCTCGACGACTGCTTGCAATTCAAGTCAAGTAATCTGTCCTCAAGTTCTTTGTTCTTAAGGCAACAAACGAAACAATGCTTTGTTAGCCACTCATGAGCTCAATGTCAGATTGAGACAAACCTTTCGAGATTGTGGTAAAACAACACGACATTCATCCAAGAGTTGGTAGAAATAGAGCTCATAATTGGTATCAATTCGTTGCAGACATTTGTGTATCAAAGACAGCGAGTCGTACGAAAATAGCTGTTTGTTATCGTCTTCAGTGTCCATCACTTTCTTGAGTTCAGCCACGGATTCGTTGAGCACATCACTATCACCGCAATCCGTGTCCAACGCCTTGTTCACGGTTTTCCTCGTCTTATTGCCCAACCGATACATACAAACCCTGGGATCCATCTTTTGATTGGGGAAACCATTGATCATTTTCGGTGATAATCGGTGGCAAAGATTGTGTCCAAAGATGTGACGCAAAGTGTATGCAAACAAACGGATGACAAGCGACTGACACGTGAGGAGACATCTGGTGTTTGTGTCAATGCTTTCCAATGCTATCGAAGGCTTGCCGCAGATTTCATCATTGAATTGAGTTTTTGAATGAAAAGCAAAATTTGGTCACAATTTGTGGTCAAAAATGTCAAACAATTATCCATTGCCTCAGAGATACGATTAACTCCATTGCCATCCGATGCCATGTCTGCCAATCGACTCATTTGTCGCCACTTCTGTGATAAGAAGCCATTCGATGATAATTACGTCAAACCCTTGTCCGGCGTCAAGAGATTCATCTCCAGACAGTTCTTCAGATTCATTGAAAGCTATGAACGCGTCCTCGAGAAGCGCTTTCCCAAGACTTTCAAGATCTACAGAGTGTTCACCATTGGTTTGTATGAAATTGATTGCCAGACAATGACATGATTATAATGATTGCCACACATATAGGCGCCAAAGACTTCTACGGAGATGTCGTGCAATACTTGCAGATCTCAAAGCAACTCTTCGATGGCCGACGAGTCCATGAATTGACATATAATGAGCTCATGGTCTACATGAGGACTCCTAAAGACATGGCACGCGTGGGTCCGGTGCTGTTGGTGTCTGCCCTGCCGTTCGCCAATTATGTGGTGTTTCCGTTGGCCTATTGGTTCCCCAAACAACTGCTTTCATCGCACTTCTGGACACTGGAACAGAGACAGACATTTCAGACGATGCACCACAAGAAGCAATTGTATCACTTCAGACCAGTCTTCAGATGCATTCAAAGCAGACTCCCTTTTGTCACATCCGAAGACAATCTCCGCGAGAAGTGTCGACTCGTATTCGCTGCGCTCGGGAGCGGCACTCATCCCAGTGTTGACCACATATTAGACATGAAACCGGTGTTCAGAGACAAACCATACGGAATGCAATACTTAAAGTCCAAACATTTGGTAATCAAATAATTGACAACTAATAAAATCTATTGAAAATTTATTTCGAGTCTAAAATTGCATAAAATTGGTTATTAATCGCATTGGAAAAGCATTCAGAAAAACAATTTCTAACAACATTTTCATCTAAATTACATTCAGATAATTATTGATTACTTTTCTAAACACTTATACTGAATATCGTATTTCAGACAGAGTTGTGTCGTATGTACGGTTTGAATGCCTTTCCATTGGGCAAAAGGTCTCGACTTATAAATCACATCGGATTTGTACGGGAATTAGATTTGGCAATCGATAGGACAGGCATTCAGTCACTAAATTTGGATCAAATCAAAACGGTTAGTGAACACACTCTTTGCAAACACATTATTATTAACGCAATTATTAACGAAAACACAAATGGTTTGTCTGTTTGGGAACTAAAGGCCTGTTTTATGAGAGGTTTGAATCCAATAGAGTTGAGTAAAGAAGAGATGATAGCATGGCTTCAGACGTGGATCGGAATCGCACACAAAGTCGACAGTAATTATTAAAACACATTCACTTGAATTGAAAAAAGTCCTAATCGTTGAATAAATTGTCTGTTTTTGTCTAAAAAAAATTGGACACAAAAATAGGTCAGAGTTTATCGCTATTACTTCACTGCCCGCTATTTCTGGCGTATAATAATCCCTCGAATTGGCGACAAATTCATTGATATCAAAAACACCACAAATTGTTACAAAAATTAGTCATTAATTAAAATATTAAAATGAAATTATTATTAAATATTTTGTAAGAAACGTGTCATCAGACGAGGGATTCACGGATTTGGTTTTCGTCTCATTTGTCTTTGTTTATCGAAACGCATTTCCATCTCTTCCAACACTTTGGGCGTATATCTGACCACAAGAACCACTTTGCCGATGGCCGCCTTCAGCAGTTCGACCGCTTTCTCGTGATTCTCTCCCTCGACGTTCACGCCGTTCACTGATATGAGTTGATCGCCTCTGCGAAGGCCTCCCTGTCTGTCGGCCACTCCGTCGGGGATGATC